AACTTCAAATATTTCGGATATACCGTTCAAAACATTAGCCATCGCTAAAAATGCTAACAGTTGAAAATATAAATAGAAATCTTGTTCCAAATCTATGTTGTTGAAATTCGTACGACGTCTATTATAGTATCTATCGTAGAAACCCCTAGTGGTGTCTATCATTATTATAGAGCGTTCCATGTCTATGTACAAACTCAAATCGTTGGAGATTGTTTTTTTTACAATTTTTAAATAATTAAAATAACTGTTTTTAAAAACATCAACAACGGAATCGGTATGATTTATCTCACTCACAGTCCCGACTGATGGATATTTTAATTTAAAATTTACGCAGTCTTTGTGTATGGCGATGTACAAAGCCGTACACAAATGCGAATGCTCGAATACAAAATTACCGGTACGCGCGTCCAACAGTCGGGCCGACATTTTTGGATCTTTGGTTTCGTTGAAAAACTTATCGTAAGTATCTCCCGAGACGACCAGTGGATGCGTCTTGGATAAAGCCTCGAGCAAAGTTGTTTTACAAACGGCGCTCGGTCCGTATACGTACAAAGAGTTATTCATATCAATAGAATAACACACAGACACGAGTGATCACAAATTACAATAGCAGAAGCCAAATCAGAAATCGTCGTATGATGAAAAGCGACAGACCTCTGGATTTTTTCGTCTTTATATACGATCGCGCGTCTCGCGAAATAGTTAGTCGGCGTTTGCGCTGCGGTAATCTATACCGATCTTGTTGTTTCAAAATCGCATCGATCGGGTGATCTCAAACATGAAGATAAAATTTTCACCCAGAAGCGAGTGCGTGCGAGATTTCGAATACAGAGCCACGTTTCACGACGACAATTTACAATGGCTACGCATAAAGCTGATGAGTATGATTCCGTATATAAATACCAATGACTTTATATTCGCTGGTGCTTCGGTCATGTGGATGATTGGCAGAATAAACAGCTTCGACAATCAAGTGGAAATTTTTGTAGATAAAAATAAATACAGAGCACTATACGAGAAGTTTAAACGTTACTACGCCGTGTTGGACACCCAAGACATGGTTATAATCGGTGGCTCCTTTCAAAGAAATTACAATAATGGTTTTTTAAAGTTTCACGATTTTCAAAATCGTCGCTCACCACAAAATAGTTTTGAATTGAAACGAGAGATGTTTGACGATATTTTACTATTCAGCGATGCTTTATCTATAAATATTATTTTTACCAATGGTCCGGCATTGGAGCACATCGACGGCATGAACATAACGGCCAGCCGGTGTTATGTCAATCTGTACGATTATTTTTTGAAAAAAGGAGCGATTACTATGAGCGAGTGCATGTGCATGTATGTACGTCGAACTAGATGAAATCGAAAAAAATCATTTACCCGTTGGTCATGTCGCGTACGGAATATTCTATAGTTTATAATTATTTTTTGTGTAAATATAAAAAGGAAAAGTTGAAAAATTTTAAGAAAAAAAATCATTATAAAAGGCAATAAGAATAAAATATTTTTCAATTGGACCAACGCTCACACGAGTGTCGAAAAATTGAAAAGTTACGCAAAGCTGATGAACACCAACGACAAAACTACATTGAATTTCAGTGATAGTAGTTTAAATTGTAAAAAATGCGAGAAACACAAAAAAATACAACACAATACTTTATAAAAATGGTTATGCTATATGGTTAGATATCCGTCTGGTACGGTTTATAAGAAATTATTGTTAAAACACAAGACTAGTGGTAATTTTAAAAACATTAAGCGAGTTCGTGTTGTCGACAACGACTCGGACAACGGAGATGAATACAATAAATCCAAGAGTATTTGTATAAAAGAATGAGTGTTGTATTTTGTTTTCAAGAAATAAATAATAATTTAATTATTGTAATCATGTGTTATTTTATATACAATATTTCCTCTAAATAGTTATTTATCATGGTAAAAATTATACAATACAAATTTTCTAACATTTTTAATTCTGATGTAACAATTTCTAAAACGTTTATATAAAAACAAATCAAATTTAGAATAATTCATACAAGGATTCATCCGAATGAATAAATTTTTAAATTTACGTATATGTTCAGCATCACAAGTCACTAAAGTAAATTCACCGCAGGAAATTTCACGAAAAAACGAATCTTTGGGTAAACCGCAAGACTCGACGAATTCACCGAATACAGATCGCCATTTCTCCATACTAAAATCTGCGTCGTCGTCGTCATCGTCGGTGGCGGAAGTTTCGGTAATGTTGCTGTTATTATTGACATCAATATCATTATCATTACTGCAGTTGCCGTCGTCGGATTTTATAGTGGTTTTTTGTACAAATCTCCCAACTCGTAAAACATAAGCCGGTATATTCTTAAAAATGTATTTATTTTCGTCTTCTTCAAATCCCACCATTCGTTTGACTAGAGATTTGTCTTTATTATAATCGGGCAGAGGTTTTTTCAATCGTATTATACGATACACGTATTCGATTATTCCTGTGGTTTTTATAATTGAAAAATTTATAAAATACATATTGTTGTATAGATATATATAGAGAGAGATAGAGAAAAATAAGTTATCGTTAATAATATGTTTTAACGACTCTGATTGTTTCAGGCCTACGACTACGCTTTAAATATTATAAATCTGATGATGATGATTATTAGAAAAAGAAGGCGAAGATTCAGCAGCAGTAGCAGTTGGAGCACCCGGCGTTTCTCTTCGTCTCTCGATTTCTAACAATTTTATACACCTAACAATATTTTTATGCGTGTACATGAGATAAAACATTAAAACTATATTTATTAAAATTATTAACGATAAATATATGTTTAACTGTATGTTTATGTAATATAATTCATCTAAAAATACATGGTTATAGTATTTATTTTTGGAAACCGTAGTGTCGCTGATAGATGATTCAATAGTTTGTTCTTTGTCATTTGGGTTTTCGTGATAGTTTCGACGGAATCAAAAGCACCGACAACAATCTTTTTGCTATACCCGATCTTAATGTATGATTTATGAAATACAAACGCTGCGATTTTCTAGTCAATTTGACTCGATTCACTTGGCGTCGTTTACGGTGGTTATTATTATTTATACGTACGATACCGATAGGGTCCTCTTTTAAACTACTATTGGCATCGCCATCGCTTTCGATGATATAAGAATACACAACATCAGCTACAGCAGTTGTGATGTCTGTAGCATCGGCAGCAATAGCTGTAGTGTTGGTTATGATATTCTTTCCAAGCGTCGTTGTAGTAGTAGAAGCAGTAGTAGCGGTAGTAGTAGTAGTAGTAGTAGTAGTAGTAGTAGTAGTAGTAGTAGT